AGGGAGTAGAAGCAAAAAGCTAGTAAAAGAGTAGTATTCATGGACACTAAGTGGTAGAGGTTTATGATGGAGCCACGTTTGATATAAGCTGCTACACTGCAGCTTCTCTGCCAAAACCCCACCTCCGCTCACTGTAGGATTCACTTGCAATTAAGCAATTTGAAGTTACAGTAGTTCTGTGACATAAGTCAGAGCCTACACACTAACATAAATGACTGCCTTTACATTCACTTTTTTCTACTGGCAGGGAAAGGGCTGTATTCAAAAAGACAGTTCTTAAATTCAAACTATTTGGCGGCAGCCAGTAGCAGCTTCCTAAATAACACAGGGGAAGAAGAAGTGTTCTTACATTAATGTGTTTTGAACTGGGCCTGTGAGGAATAGCAGAAATAATTCTAAATGAACAGAAAAGTATAACAGAAGTTATTTTCACGTAACAGTTTTGTAAGCAATGCATTACATTAGCCTTTCAGAAAATAAAATCAAATGGAAGTGTTAGTCACTTTAATGCTGTGTTATGCTGTAATTTGTGTTTCAGAAAGATCAATGCAGTGCTTAGGGGTACACAGACTACTCTGAACGCACACCCAGTCACTCTCAGCTCCTTTAGGGATAGCCCATGCCTCTTAGATGGGAGCAGAGTATTTGACTTTTCAAATCAGTGACAAATTATGTTTTTCTGATTTTGATTCTATTTCCAGCTTAGTATTGGATACAAGTCAAGATAGAACTGGAGCAAATGTGAAAATTGCTGCAAGGAACTAAAATTCAGTAACATACTAAACTGCACTTTTAAAGAATCAAGCTATATATACTGATGCCAGGATACCATACTCCTATAGCAGAGCCCTTAAGGGCAGAAAATATTATTTTGATAATGAATAGCATATAGTATCATGTTCTCTACTTATAATTAATCAAAATTTATGTCTTTGTGGATGTAAAGATAATCCTTTAAAATGAAACACAATAGCAAAGCTGGAATCAAAAAGAGAATGTATCATTAAATTTGCTTGTGATGTGCATATAATTAGCAAGTTATTTCTTAAAAACAAGGCCATAAATCAATGTCCCTATAAAGTTCCCAGCATTTTATTATTTCTCTCCAATAAACTGAACCCAGCCTGGTGACAAGGGCAACTGTTTGTTTTGAGAGTAGCTGAATCTGGCTCCAGATTTCTCTGATCAGACTGCATAACCAAGGGCCATTCAACAGTGGTTCAGATGAAGGACAGAGGGACATCTGTGTTCTGTCAGGAACATGATTTAGGAACATGTTAGAATGGATAGGAGCTGCCTTCACAATTACTCATTCTTGTGGGAACATCACAGGGATCAAAGGCTGTGAGAGGGCAGGGACAGTCGTGGGGCAATATGCAGGGAGCACTGGTGCCAGGGCCTCGTGAGCCAATGGAGCCACGAGAGCTGTGTGCAAAACCTGGGGTTTATTGTACTGGGCAGCAAAGTTTGGTGCCACCAACCATCATCTTCACACTCAGGCGCTGAGCACAGCTCCCCGGCCCCACGGGCAGGGCGCCGGGCTGTGCCTCCACCCTTCTGATGTCAAAGCACTGGGCTGTGCAGCAAACTGGTTCTGGGGGAGGCAGCAGGGCAGCAACTTGATGAGATGTTCAGCACATGCACATTTAGTCTGCTGAGTGCAGCTGGGACAAAGAGCTGCCTCTCCTTGTACTGCTGCTGCTCTGCCTCCCTGCCCAGTGCACCAGCATAGCCTACTCACGAATGCCAACGGTGGGATGTGGATGGAGCTCTCATCACCACACATTTTTCCCCAAAATATAGAGCTGTTTTGGTGGGAGGTGAGCCCTACCATCCTTCTAGTTCTGGCGCTCAGAAAAGAGAGGGTTTGCAATGAGTACATTCCAGATGAACAGCAGCAGTCCTTCACCTATCCAAGCATGTCGGGGAACATTTACGAACCCACAGGAACATAACCTGTGCTGATTGAGGGATCAGGTCCCTACATCCTCTAGTATAACTACTGCAGGAAAAAAAATCTCAAATGCTCAGTATAAGAGAAAAAGTAGAATATCATGCCTGCTGGAAAGTGCTAGAAGCTGTTGTCTGGGAGCAAGGAGAATGGGGAGGATTTGATGCTGCAACACAGCAATGTTCATTTTTTTATATTTTCCCACAGTTCCACAAACAGCAATGTTTGTGCAAAGTCATACTCAGCTAAAATTGAGACCAAGATTACAAGTGATAAGAAAATGTAGTAACTTATTTTCGCTATATTTTAGTGTAATTTCATTCTACAAAATCTCGTACAATTGACAATACAGCTGTACTAATTCATGAATGAATTGCACAGGAGATACATTTCATATACATTTTTGCACTACCTCTCCTAAGATGAAGCCTGTTTGCACAGCCTTCTGGCTGCTCTACCCTATGCACACCCCTCTTGGGTGTCCAATGCTCTTTTGCCCCTTGGATGCCCCTTCCTGCTCTGTTTAAGGCTCTCCATGTGCCCAGAGCAGTTCTCAGTAGCTCCTGCTACCACTTAGAACTCCTTTCATGGTACAGTAGTATTAAATACACACATAAAATTTTTCTTCAGTGAAAACACAAAACAATATTTTACTGAGTATTCAGTCCTAGTCATTGTTGAAGGAAAGTGCAAAAAACTATGGCTAAGTATAAACATCAGGAACTTGTAGCATCATTCAACTTTGAAAGTTGGGATGAGGAAAAATAACTGCTGCATTCATGTTTGAAGAGACAACGTTAAACCTTGCAGGCTAGATATCTAGTATATACATCTGTATGCACATAAATATGTTTATATATTTAACAGAGACCCCTATCTATAGTATTATGGAATTAAGATCTATCTACATCCATTAAAAAGTATTAGAGCTTCTTGTTTAGAAAGAACATCTGTCAGTGCTCCCTTCAGACTTGCCTTCTAATTTAACAAACAACATAAATGAATCCTATTAAATCAATTTTATAGGCAAAGTGGGTTTTTTTTTACTTCTAATTAAAGTTATTCTTGATTTATATCAGTAGATGTGAAAAAAATAATCAGATACAAAGTGCTAGACATATGGTAACTTGACTTGTTGCATGAAGGCATATATTCACTATCACATAGCTCAGTAAGAAAAGCACAAAATAACAAAGCATCTTAACAGTGGTTTTTCTGAGTGAAAAATGGCAGGAAACCTGGTTCTTTTCTTAAACCAAGACTAGAACAATAAGACTTCTTTGACTTAATGACATTATTTTATGCCAAAATGTGTAAGATGGGAATGAAGCTGTAGTTACAATGCAAAGATAAAAAGGGAAATTTTAAGTAATGTGTATCACATTATAATTTTTAAATAACCTATTTTTTTTAGCAACAAGGATAGCTATAATTACCTCCCAGGGAAACCATGAAAGCTGTTGTTTGGGACATTAAAACCAAGTTAGATTAAATTTTTGCATTCCTAAATAAAATTTCTCTGTGAGCAGGGGAGAAAGAGGACTTGATCTATCAGAGTTTTATCCATGTCTTAATTCAAGGAATATGTTTATTTTGAAAACAAATTCAACAATTTATATGTAAAACTGTAATTGTCTCTTATAGCAACACAATACAGGAGGTAACAGACAAAGCTTAGAAAACACAAATACTAAGATTATTTCAAAATACTGTGCTGAACTACTTCTGAATACTTCATATATTTGGGGTAACATATGCTCTAATTATACCATTGCATTACTATCAAATTAAATAGCTTCTCTTTTTTTTAATATTCTAAAACAAGACAGGTCACCTGAAATATCATCTATTAATAACAGCATTACAAGACCAGATTCCCAGTGGAGAGGGAAAAAATCAATGTGAAAGAGAAGTCTTAACTGCAACTGGATGACTATTAGCTATTTAATGCACTAAAACTTCTCCCATTAAACACCCTGTCTACGCCTGTCCAGCGCTTAAACTCCAAACAGAAAAGAGTCTCTTAAAACCAATGTAAACTGAGAGCTGATGGTGATGAGACTCATAATGAATTTCCAGAACTGCCTAATAATATGAAAAAGATTATATGATGCCACAATAACAGATACAGTTGCCCTGCACATTAATACTACTTGTTGCCATTAATGTTTTATGTTTTTAAACATTAAACTATCTCAGACTCCAAAGAAACATTCAGTTGCAGCTGAAACTTCAGGAGAAAATTTTAGCAGAGATCATAGACATAGGTACAGGAGCACAATCAAAACAAAAAGGCAGGAGAAAAACCTTCTTTTTCACACTAATCTACGAGAACTCCTGAAACACTGGTTTCAGTCTTGCAAAATCATACCAGCATATGTTACAGGCTCTACCTGACTTCGCTCCTGATGTTAACAGCATACAGACAATGGGTCCCTGACTCAACTACAGATGCAGCTATCCAGACGATCATTAAGTCGTGGATTTCAAAGTCTGCTTTGAAGAAACTGATCTGTCAGTAATGTCTGCACATCCAGGAGGCACAGGGAAATCTGTTGCTGAAATATTTCCGAACACATAGCCGGAACTTTGTTCTGTTTTACCCTATTCAGTACAGAGAAGCCCTACAAATGTAAAAGTTCACATCCCTTCATTGTTCAGGAACAATGTGCACACCATGCATCATACAGATGTAACTTTTTATATTAAAAAATAAAAATGTTGCTACTACCAGTGATAATTTCGTTTTCATTCAGAAAGGGACTCGGCAGAAATTATAAACCCAGCCAAAGCGGCAGCTGCGCCTAAGCGTGACTCCCGACCCGATTTCCAGCACCGGGCTGCCGGGAGCTGCACTCCCACAGTCTGCGGGGCTGGCAGCCGGCAGCCGGAGCGGGCGCGGAGAGGCAGCGGGCTCCAGCGACCCGGCGGGTCCACCAGGGAGCGGAGAGCGGGCACGGCCGCTTTTTTCCCGGCAGGGACGGAGCCCGCGGGGCAGCCGGGGCTGCGCGGGGCGCGGGTGGGGCGGGGGCCGGGCGCGGGCACTCACCGCGGGGGCCGTCAGGCGGCGGATGCTCTCGCCCAGCGAGTCCAGGTTGACCCGCCGGCGGCGCGGAGCGCGGCGCGCCCCGGCGCTGGCCGCGGCGGCGGCGGCGAAGGGGATGTCAGCGGGGCCGGGGGGGCTGCGGCTGCCGTTCCAGCACAGGCGGGACAGGGGACACTCGCCCTCCTCCTCGGGGCTCGTCTCGGGGCAGTCCGAGCCCAGCGAGCTGAAGGACTCTGACGAGATCTTGCGGCGGGACATGGTGCCGCGGGCCGCGCCGGGGCGGCGGCGGGCTCAGCGCGGGGCGGCGGGCAGCCGCGGCGGGCAGCGCCGAGCTGGGCGGGCGCGGGGGCGGCCGCCTCGCATGGCCGCGGGTGCCCCTGGGCGGGCGGGAGGCAGCGGCGGAGCCGCCGCGCCGGGGCCGGCGCAGAGCGCGGTGCTGCCCCGCTCCGCGGCTGTCCGCGCCGGGCCGGGAGCGCGGGTGCCGCGCCGCGCCGCGCCGGGAGCCTTTAAAGCGGCGGCGGCGGCAACCGCGGCGGCTGCTGCCCTCCTCTGCCTCGGCCGCCCGCCCCGCTCTCCCCTCCCCCGGCTCCCTCGCTGCTCCGCGGGGATCACGTGTTGTTTCGAGCCCTTTCCCCCTCCTCCTCCGCCTCCCGCCTCCCCCGCCCCGCTCGCCGCCTGTCGCGCCCGGCCCCGCTGGCCGCGGCCCCGCCGGCCCCGCTGCCCCGCGCCGGGGCGATGCCCCCAGCGCCCGGCGGGGCGGGCCGAGGGCAGGGCCCGCGCTCCCGGCCGCCGAGCTCTGCGCTTTGGCACTCTGGAGCCGGGCTGAGGGAAGCGGGAAGGTTGCCCGGTACCCGCGCACGGCTCCGCGGGGAGCGGCGGTGCCAGCGCCGGGAATGGGGACGATCCCGGGGCCCTCCTCCCCTGGCTGCCGCCCCGGCCCCGCCGCCGCCGCCTCCAGTCCCGCCGCGGTGCTGGACAGCTCCCTGGCAGCTCCAGCGGCCGGGGAAGCCGGTACGCGCCTGCTGCCAGCCTCCCCGCCAGCGAACTTTTGAAATGACATTAGGGAAGCTGAAGCTTAAGAAATAAATCTTTTTAAAAACTGGGGAGAGAGGATGCAGGTCATCTGCTTTCAGAATCAAAAGCTGTCTTTCTGAAAGCGTTGCTCCCGTTAACACTGTGGGTCATGTCCAAAACATCTAAGAAACTAAATTAATTCCCCCGCTACAGCCCTGGCAAGGGGAGAAAGGACTGGGCTAGAGGACCCAAAGGCAGAGGATCTTCGATCCCAGATGACACACAAGGTGTCTCCTTCCCAACTTTCCCTACTCATGCTGTCAGTTTAAAGACACCTTTCGAGATTCATTCCAATAGTGATAATCCCATATAGTTCTCCTCAGGAAAAATGTTCCAAAGAAATGTGATCTGAGCTGAAATGGTTCGTCCTACCATCAATGAAGACAGCTTGTCATTGCTTTCCCTTTGTTCAAACAAGACTTACTTTAAAAGGCAATGATTTTTAAATAGTTTTTACTCTACCTTTTCACTGTATTATGACATGTTTTACAACCTTATCCTTTTAAACGTCTGAATGCAGCCTAAACAAGGACTCACTGAAAAAACTAGGGAGATTTCCACAGGTATGAAGGAGCTTTTGAGCATGGCTTCAGGCAGCACAAGCCAGTGTCTGCTCCCAGATGGGGCACAGGTCTATGGCCAAGCATGCTGCTTTTAACTGGGGCATAACAACCTTTGCCAGGACATTGCTTTCAGTGTATCATCCTTGTTTCCCTTGACTCGCATAGTGTCTTTTTTTTCCTTTTTTTTTTTTTTTAATAGAAATAGATATGAAGTCGAGTGATTGAAGCCTGTGGCTTGAAAGGATGTGTAGTAAAGCCAGATGTTCCATACTACCTTCTGTTGCCATGGGAAGTATTACACTTGGGATGCATAGACTCTCCTTTTGCAGACCTGGTGATTCCCTTGGCAGACCTAGGACATGAATCAGGCATAATTTCACATGCAATTAATTCACACATGAACCTTCAGATGTGTTGTCTTTGTGTTTCCTCCTCGACTGATTAACAATATTCATCAGTATCTGATGAGTGTAGGGAGGCAAAATAGTCACTGCCTTTTTTGTTCCTCCCTCTGAACAAATCCCCATTTTCACAGGTTCTTTGAGACCTGCTGCACAAGCCCTTGCTGGCGTGCAGGCCAAGCTCCCACTATTGAAGGGACTCAGGAGCTAAGGGGTCTGGAAGGTGCCCTTTGGTGCTAAACATCATCCCTAGCACAGGGTACTCTGTGTAACATTCTTCATGTGCTCCAGTTTCCACTAAATTTACTTCCTTCTCATAGACCATTTCATACAGTCCTCAGTGAAGTAAACTACCACTGGCTTCCTGGCTGATGAAGTGACAGTGACAACTGGGTAAGAGCCACATAGTTTAGCACAGAAAATGCAAATACATATTTATAAGTTCTAAACTGCAAAAATACCAAAGTGTTAACTGGTTCCATGTGCAGCGCTTCAGCTGTAGGGCAAGCAACTTGCTTGGAGGCATTTTGCATTTTATTCAGCACTAGGGAAGAGGGTTACAACATGACAAAAATGACACCTTTTCGGTCTTCAGTTTCCTCTTTTTCTTGAAGTTTAAAGTAGCACTTCCCAATGCAACTTATTGGTAGCATTTGACAGTACTTCTGAGTGTTTTTATTATATAATATGGTTATCCTGAAATGGAAAGGAAAATTCTCTTGCCTCAGTGACTATTCCTGAGGTGAGGACATCATAACTAAATGTACTTGTGTACCAAAGTAACTCTTTTCAAGAATGTGAAATACATTTTCCTTCAACATCAAGATAATGACGTTCATAGCTCAGGAAAAAATGCCATTAGGTTCTTCAAGCAATCTTTTCTTCAGATGAAGCAGAGCTTTGAGTAAACCCAGACAGTGTTGGCTAGTCTGATTAGATACAACCTTTAAAGCTTGTGAAAGTAAGCCTCATACCTGCCCAATCCAGTTACTAAGGATATCAGTAGTATGCATACTGCAACTCTGTTTGGGATTCATTATATGAAGTGCAGAGAACTGAACAGAGGAACCAGCTGGAAAACTACCAAACATCATTATAAGTTGTCTTGAACTAAATAGAAATGGACAGCAAGATTCAAGATGATGCAGATTCTGGAGGTGAGTCTGGTGAGCAAACAAGTCATTCAGTCCCCAGTTAATTATTCTCATTTAATTTCTCTTGATCCAGACACAGCCTTGGCAAAAGCTAAATACCACAGGGATTGCTTCATCTGGCTGTCAAATGCCTTTGAGAGCCCATAGACACAGACATTTACAGCATATAAGAGAACAAATATTCTTCTTTTATACATGTCTCATCAGCCCCAACTTGTAGTTGGCAAATTATTGAGTAAACAGCAGAATGTCTGTAAAATGAATAAGGTTAACTAAAAGAAAGCCAATGCAACTTTTCTTTCATATTACAACAATGTGCAATGTATGTGTCCCACATTACAGACACTTCCAAAAAAATGTGGAGTACTTTTAATTCTTTTACAATTTATAATGCATAATTATTCTTCTCATTAGACCACTGACTGAACATATCCAGGGTGTGCCCAGGTGGCCGAGACACTGATGGCACCCTGGCCTGGATCAGCACTGCTGTGGCCAGCAGGAGCAGGGCAGTGACTGTCCCCCTGTGCTCAGCACTGCTGAGGCCACAGCTCCAATCCTGTGCTCAGTTCTGGGCCCCTCACTGCAAGAAGGACATTGAGGGGCTGGAGCGTGTCCAGAGAGGGGCAGCGGGGCTGGGGAAGGGTCTGGAGCACAAGTGCTGTGAGGAGCAGCTGAGGGAGCTGGGGGTGCTCAGCCCAGAGAAAGGAGGCTCAAGGGGAACCTCATCACTGTCTACAGCTGCCTGAAAGGAGGGTGCAGCCAGGTGGGGTCAGCCTCTTCTCCCAGGTACAAGTGACCGGACAAGGGGACATAGCCTAACGTTGTTCCAGGACAGATCCAGGCTGGACACCAGGAATTATTTTTTTTTTTTTTCCCACAAAAAGGGTAATTAAGCATTGGATTGGACTGCCCAGGGAGGTGATGGATTAGCACTGTGGTTTAGTTGACAAGGTTATGATCAGTCAAAGGTTGGACTTGATGATCTTAGAGGTCCCCTACAACCTAAATGATTCTGTGTCTCTATAATTCTAAGGAAAATATTATGAAAATCAGAAATGTTTTATCATTTTTTATCTATTTGCTTATTTTTGTCTTAGTAGTAATGAGCAAACATCACAAAACTGAGTTCAGTCCTGACAGAAAATACATGGTCTTTAATTTCCATTATTTAGAGTGTGTTAGTTTATTGGTAATTATTCATGATTTTTATTTATTCACTATTAACTGTGCATTTCTCATCAGACATATGTTGGAGTTTTGATATTATTTTTGTTCACAAATGCTGTTTTTCTACAGCCTTGGAAGATTAAAATAACAAAAACAACTTAATCATAGTGCATTGCATTGTCCTATCTGCCTTTGTTGAGAAAATGTTGGTTGCAAAGCTGCTAAAAGAAAGTATTTTAACTAATCCCTCTTAGAGCTGCACATATCACATATATTTATCTCACATATATCATATATATAGTTCATATCATTTCACCTATTACATTATATGGCTTTTTATAATAATCTTTTTTATAGCACTGCTGAACCTGTAAGTACTTAATTTTCCTTTAATAGAAAAGATTGTTGTCACAGGATCAATGTGTCCCCACAGAGAAAGTAAACACCTGTTTTGCAAAGCATTTCTAAAGCAGCAGGAGGCCGTTATCCTGTAACAACATTGTGTTACAATTACTTTATTGCAGTCAGGCAAAATGACTGATGTGCAGCAAATTCATTCTTCTTTCACATTCTGCCAAACCTTCCTGTTCTTTATCCAATGACTTCCATCTGGAGTAGTGCCTGGAAGGATGGCTGGGGCGTTCTGCCATTCGTCATTAATGATCTGTTGAATTACAGCTGGCTTGAAGAACAAATCAATTATATATTTCAACTACTCAGAAATATAGTTTATGTGCAAAGTGCAGCAAATTCACATTGGTCTAAGTTGTTGTTCTAGTCATCAGGTTATGTTTGAGTCCAGCATGTTACTGAAGCAGTAATGAATCTGTTTTTCACTGCGAGATGAGATATTGTGTAATGAAAGCAGAAGAATCTGTCTTAATGCCCATAAAATATATTTAATCTTAGACCTTCATCACACTATTAGGACTTATTTTTTGTGGATGAGAAAAGCAAACAAACCACTGGTGACATACCACAAGACTCACACCACCTAGCAGATCAATAGC